CCTGAACTCTGGGCCTGGGCGCTGTCCCTCAGCTCTTCAGCTCAAGGCTAGCGCTCTACCACTTGAGCCACAGCGCCACTTCCGGCTTTTTTCTTGTTGCTTATGTGGTGCTGAGGAATCAAACCCAGGGCCTCAGGCATGCAAGGCAAGCACTCTACCACTGAGCCACCTTCCCAGCCCCTGGAGGGTAATGTTGATGTGCTTCACAGAGATAGTGAGTATGAATTGGGGTGACATGGCTGAGCTTGAGCTGTGTGTGGACAGCTAAAACAGATGGGAGCACATACAGCAGGACATCCAGACAGAGAACCGGGCTAGAGACTGGGATCCTAGAGTTGTCATCACGAGGGTGGTAACTGAAGCTCAGGTAGAAAGGATTAGCTCCAAAGAGACCCTAGTATCTGTGTGAAGCTACAGGAGGGTGTGAAGCTGGAGCCTAAGGAATGTGCCCATGAGAGGAACAGACAAGATGAGGAGGCCAGAAAGAGAACAAAGATACTCTGTTTGGATTGGAGGCTTACTGTGTGTGTGTGTGTGTGTGTGTGTGTGTGTGTGTGTGTGTGTGTGTGTGTGTGTACATTCACGTGCTTATGTTTGCATGCATGCAGGTCTTGGGGCTTAAACTAAGGACATGGGCACTGTCCCTGAGCTTTTTTGCTCAAGGTTAACACTCTGTAACATTCTACCACTTGAACCACAGCTCCACTTCTGGCTTTGTGTGTGTGTGGTTCATTGGAGATAAAGAGACTCACAGACTTACCTGTCCTGGCTAGAAAGATCTCAGCCTCCTGAGTATCTAGGATTACAAGCGTGAGCCACCAGTGCCCAGATGAAGGCTTTCTTTTTGCACCTCCTCTGTGTCTTCTCAAACAGCAGCCATGGCTTCTCCGTCCCTTAGTATAAACCCTCTCTCCTCCACCATTAGAGAGTTCATCTTGCAAATCTAATGGAGTAATAAAGGCATTGATTCTGTTAACGAACATCCAGCCCACTACTAGACCTGTAATGAGAATTCATTTTGGAGGTCAATACAGCTGTCAATGGAACCATTTTCCCCAGGGTCCCATTGGTGTTTTCTCTTGTCACTGACAGAAGACGTCCTGACTAGAGAAATAATGTGAGGCACATTAATGAGCTGGTGATCCTGCCTAGGGTAGTGAGCATAGTATGACCTGGAATGGGTCAGATAACAGAGAAGAGCTAGAAAAATGATAGTCATTGAATAACCCTAGAATGCCACCCTCACCCTCACCTCTTATTGAGTAAATGCTGGGGTTGTGAGCTAACGACATCATAGTCACAGTTCTCAGACACCCAGAAAGACAGTGAAAAGAAGCCTGGGCCAAAGGCTGTTGGAAGGTTTCAGAGAGATTTTGACACCCATGCAGGATCTTAGAGTTTCCATATGAGTTTGCTAGAAGAATAGAGGAGAAACACAACATAAGCCAAAATAATCACAAAAGGGACTGCTTTGTGCAGGGACTTGATGATACTTCAGTGCGCCTTGTTTATGGGTGGAGAGAAATCAGGAAATAGGTCAGACTGTGAAAAGCCTGGTATGTTATGCTAAGGAATTTGGACTGAGCTCAGAGAGCCAGCCAAATGAATAATACCCTGAAGTTGGGTTGTCAAACTGTAAGTTATTTTCTTCCCTTAATACCTCACTTCCTTTCTAACAAACATACCCAAGGAGTTTGAGATTAGTTAAGAGAAGAAAAAAAAGGACCCAAAGATAGAATTGAAGAACAGGGAACATAGCTGTCCTAGGAGGACTCAGAAGAGCAGGCCAGAGGAACTGGAGTCCAATCTGGAGGAAGAGCTGAAAATACACTTGTGCTTTTATTATTAATGCAAGAAAGCCCAGTCCAGAGCCTCAATTAGTGAGTCTTCAGGAAGTAATGCCTCATTTAACAAAGCCAGCTACTTTGAAGGACACGCTGACAGCAGAAGCCACCAGAGAGGAAGAAGCTATGAGTATCACTGCTCCAGGAGCTGGCTCTGCCTGTGGCTATGGTCATAACCTCTGGACGTTGGCAGCCTTTTCTCCTAGGGTGTAGCTGACCCGGCCCTGTGGTAATAGACACTGACCTCCAGGCTGCTCCAGTAAAGAAGGCAAGAGCAGTTTCCCTTCAGGACCAGCAGGAGGCACCAGCTGGCTCTCTGGGAACTAGGTGTATGAGGGAGAGAATACTGCTTCTCTAGCCATGCCTCTGCCCCAAATAGTTTTTCTTCCTTTGACAAACCTGTCTTTCCTTCTTAACTCACAAGACGACTCCTTCCTCTCACAGACTCCCTGAGAAACATTTCCTCAGCCAGTCATGGCCCACGCTCTTCTCCAGCCGAACTCAGCAGCTCCAGCCAGCACCTGCTCCGAGAACGGAAGTCCTCAGCCCCCTCGCACTCCAGCCAGCCCACTCTGTTCACGTTTGAGTCCCCCATGTCAAACCACATGCAGCCTGCTCTGTCCACCAGTGCACCTCAAGAGTATCTCTACTTGCACCAGTGCCTCAGCCGGAGAACAGAAAACGCAAGGTAGGAAAGGCATGATCACTATTTGGGTAAATGACTACCTACAGGGCCCACTACTTTTCAGTCCTTTTTTAAGACAAGTGAGGAAGATACTACATCTTTGCACGTAAACAAACACATGTATAACAAAACCACTATTGTCTCTATAACCTTCACATTTTATCGTCTGTATTGCTACAAAGTGATAACTGGCTTCCAGAGAAACCTCTCGATACAAGCATGTCATGCCATAAAAAATTGATTTGAGGGTAAAAGGCATTAAGAGCTAGAATTTCAGAACTCCTGAATAAGAGTCAAATATTTGTTAGCCATACAAGTATAGCTACAGAACCTTAACACCACTGAGCAAATCCATCTCTCACTTTGTGCTGGTACTACCCTATCCGCTGTTGCATTTGTGGCAAATTAAATTTAATAAAGTTAACATCAGTTCTTGTGCCAGCCTGAGTTAGATGCTCAGTAGTCTCCGGTGGCATATGACTAGGACTGGACAGTATTGATTTTTTTTTAATTCCATCATCACAGAACATACTAGAGCAGTAACTCTAGAAGAATGGTCTTTGTTTTGTTTGTTTCTTTTGGCAGTTGTAGGGCTTGAACTCCAGGCCTGGGTGCTGTCCCTTACTCTTTTGCTCAAGGTGAGTGCTCTACCACTTTGAACCACAGCACCACTTCCAATTTTCTGATGGTTAATTAAAGATAAGAGTCTCATAGACTTTCTTGCCAGGGCTGGCCTCAGATCTCAGCCTCCTGAGTAGCTAGTGTTACAGGCATGAGCCACCAGTATCCAGCTCTGATTAATCTCTTTGACTTCTAATTTCCTCAGCTCTAAAATGGAAATCACAAGTTAATAAGCAGAAAATATTAAGCAGCCAGTATTGGTATCAGTACCGGTTCCCTGTGGGCCCACCCCACTGCTACATGTATGGCAGCAGAGAATATGAGATCCTAAAATCCTAATTTCTAAGCCGGGCACCAACGGGTTATGCCTGTAAATCTAGTCAGGAAGCTAAGATCTGAGGATCCCAATTCAAAGCCAGCCTGGACACGAAAGTCCATGAGACATTTATTCCAGTTAACCATCAAAAAGCCAGATGTGAAGCTGTGGCTCAAGTGGTAGAGAGCCAGCCTTGAGCAAAAGGGTCAAATGAAAGTACAAGGCCCTTAGTTCAAACCTCAATACCAAAACAAAAAAAAAATAAAAAATACTTTTTACCTCTCAAAAGTCTAATAATGCCAAGTGTTGGTGACGTTGTATACTAGCTTTCATCTTTCACTCTGACATTGCAGAACATACTAGGTGCTCCAGAAAAACAATGCCATTGTACAATCTACAAAGCACTTTTTTATGTTACTTATCTCATATGATCTCCAAAGTAATTCCTGAATTTCCTTTTGTATAGGACCAACCAGCTCATCTGTCTCTTCTTAGCTACATTAAATATAAAAATACCAGATTGAAGTATTCTTTATGAACTCTGTGTGTGTGTGTGTGTGTGTGTGTGTGTGTACATCTGTACATCTCTCTTTATGAGGGGACCTGAAGTAACTTACATAAAAGTATAAGCTATCACTACTTTTACTGAAGTAATATCACTGCTGTCCTTCACTTACTAGATAATGCATATTCCTGGTAACTAACTTGTTTACAAAATTCAGGTGTCCCACTAAGCTAAAGGAAGTCACTGTTCAGAAAGTTGTTTTTTTTTTTTCTCCAAAATAAGTAGTTTTGAACTGAAGGGGGAAAAATAGAGTTCTTTTTGTCATTGCAGACAAATTGGCTTTGCTGTATTTATTTTTGCCTTCTAGCCTTGGGGTTTATTCCATATTGCAGCTAGTGTCTGACAGCTTATTTCAAAGAAGCTGTTTGACCTGTTATAGGTGACACACTAAGGCTGTGCACATACCTTAAGAAGCCGTAATTCTGGAACCATCAATAGTTCCCTGTCAGTTTTACCTAATAGTTTAATTGATTGACCTTGCTTAACCCCATTATCTCCATATGGTTTTCAGAATAGGAGGTGAGGAAGGATTTAACTGCCTTAAGCAGCTTAGGAGAAAAGTAGAGCATGTGTCAAACTTCCATAAGAAGAGTTCATTCTGGTTGATGCTTTTTGTGAAAGCTGAAGGAAGTGAAATTTCAAGTGATGATATTCCCACATTACTGACCCTGCAACAACATTCTACAGCAAGATGGTGGGTCAAAAATGTGAGTGGAGAATTTACCCATGGTTTCCCCTGACTCATTCGTCCAGTGCTTTAATTGACCAAAGGCAGAATATACAACTTTTTTAGTTTCACTTAATTTCACAAATGCAACACTGCTCTGTAATGGTAAGGGAAAGTGAGGCTCACAACTGCAGCCAATGAGATAGAGACAAGATCCTCTCAGTCTCTTAAAGATTGTGACACCATAGGCTGGGAAGGTGGCTTAGTGGTACAGTGCTTGCCTAGCATACATGAAAGCCCTGATTTTGATTCCTCAGTACCACATAAACAGAAAAGGCTACAAGTGGTAGAGTGCTAGCCTAGAGCAAAAGAAGCTCAGGGACAGTGTCCGGGCCCTGTGTTCAAGCCCCAGAACTGGCCAAAAAAAAAAAAAATTGTGACACTGATTTTCTAGCCTCACAAAAAGGACAGGTTTGGGGTGGGCCAAAGGCAGGAAATGGTGTCACAAAGTGATAAATGTCAGTTAATCTACTTGCAAGCACTTATATATTAGATTTCCCTTAAGTAGGAAATTGATCCATTAAAAATAAAACTGGAAGCCAGGCACTAGTGGCTCACACCTGTAATCCTAGCTACTCAGGAGGCTGAGATCTGAAAATTGCAATTCAAAGCCAGCCTGGGCAAGAAAGCCCGTGAGACACTTCCTCACCAAAAATGCCAGAAATACAGATGTAGCTCAATTGGTACTAGCCAATTGAGCAAAAAACTCAAGGACAGTGCCCAAACCCTGAGTTCAAGCCTTAGCACCAGCATACACACAAACACACACACACACACACACACACACACACACACACACACGTATGTATATGTATATTTGTATGTGTGAATATGTATATATATTGACTTAGGAACCCATTTAAAAGCCACTGGAATGTTTGAGAATGGTACTAAAGCCCAAGCATAAATGCAAGAGAGGTATTGGTATGACGGTCTCACTGAGCCAGCAACAGCAGCAGGAATGGGCAGGAAAGATGCATTGCACTTCTGGCTTGAGGGACTGTTTCCCCCCCAGCTTCTTTCCATGTCCAGTGAGTTCCCCTGCGCCCTAGGATCTTCCTATACCAGCACTGCCGTTATTTACCATTTTCCTCAACAGACATTTGAGGAGACTTGTTGGAGGATTTAAAGAGACATTCCAACTGATGTACCCAGAATTGTATCTTGCTTATTTTATGATGCCCCCATCAGCAGCCCACAGCCCTGCTATCCACAGTAGCATCTCATCATATCATGGTAACAGCCCTCAGTTCATATCTGAAGGAAAGTAGGAAAAGTCACAAGGCTTCCCTCTTTTGATTCTTTCCCATAAGGAGAATTGAACTGCAAAATCAGAGGTTCCATTGCTCAGCTTCTTTTTCCTGGCTTTTTAAGTAATGGTACAACCACCCCGCCTCATCCCTATCCTCTGCTCTATATCTGTATCATTTGCAGTATGCCTTCTAGAACACATGGTCTGAGGCACAGGCAAAAATGATGAGCACAAGGCAGAGTGGGTGGTATGTCAGAACCCTGGCATGCTAGAACATGAAGGAAGAGGAAATCAAAGCAGGAAGGGGTACTGGGGATCTATTGTGCCTTTGTACGTAAGACTTGGTAAAAAGTTTTGCAGAATCAGGGAGCATTGCAGAGAAAAATGAGTAATGTAAGCCCAGGGACAGAGCACAAACGACATGGTACATGTTAGGGGATGAATGAGTAGTTCTGTGAGCTAGAAGAGAGGTTAGAGTAGAGGAAGCCTGGAACCTAACTGTCCTAAACAGAAAAGGTGTTAGTCTTCTGGTTAAAGAGTTTGGACCAAGTTCAGGGAAAGAAAAGTGCCAATGTACTTTCTTTATTCATTTGTTTATATTATCACACACTTGTTCACTCAATTAATGTTCATTATGGGGGCTGGGAAGGTGGCTCAGTGGTAGAGCGCTTGCCTTGCATGCCAGAGGCCCTGGGTTCGATTCCTCAGCACCACATAAGCAAAAAGAAAAAAGCCAGAAGTGGCACTGTGGCTCAAGTGGTAGAGTGCTAGCCTTGAGCTGAAGAGCTGAGGGACAGAGCTCAGGCCCAGAGTTCAGGCCCCATGACCTGACCTCCCCCCCAAAAAATAATAAAATAAAATAAATGTTCATTATTTATTTTGTGACAAACTATGTGCTGAGGAAAAAAAATTAGACATGTTTTGGTTCTCAAGGAAGTCACAGCTGTGGAAGAGACAAGTAATGATGGTACAAAATACAGATCACAGCTGCTACCTGTCCAAGTGATTAGTTATTGCAAGTGATTCAGCAAGTGATTAGCTATACACAGAGGTTGAGCATGTAAGGATTAGCTACAAGAGATGTGGCCAGGGAGCTGAGTTTGACGATCAAGAGCTGAAGCCAGGCTGGAGTAAGAGGCTCCCAGGCCAGCCTGTAATCCCAGCACTAGCAAGGTGAGTGAGGCAGGCAGATCTTAAGTTTGAGTTTGAGGCCAGCCTGAGCTAAACAGAGTGAGACCCTGCCTCAAACCAAAAGCTCTTGCACACAGCAAACATAACAGCACAACAGAGCCGATGCTAGACTCAGTGAGGCCTTCTGGAAGCATTGTAGACTGATGGATTATTCTAGAGTAGGGAGGGATTCCAGGAAGAAAATGACAATATTGAAGATGTTTGATGGGGAGGGTGGGAAAGAATCAACAGGGTATAGAGGAGCAGAGAGGTCCCAGGAAGATGGAAAGGAGATTAATGAGTAGCCCCATCATTAATCCAGAAGAAAACTCAGAAGGAACTGGATTAGGATAGATTCGATGCGACTTGATCAATTAGTGAGAAATAAGAATGCGGTAACTCCTCCATTTCTGGCTTCCCAAAGTAGGAGAATGAAGAGCAAAAATAGAACGCAGAGCTGGGTGCTGGCGTCTCACATTTGTAATCCTAACTACTACACTGAGATTTGATGATTGTAGTTCAAAGCCAGCTCAGGCAAGAAAGCTCATGAGATTCTTACCTCCAATTAGCCACCAAAAAGCCAGAAATGAAGCTGTGGCTCAAGTGGTAGAGCCCTAGCCTTGAGTGAAAAAGAAAGCCCCAACCCTGGCACAGAAAGGGAAGGAAAAAGAAGAGAGAAGGGAAAGGGGAGAAAGGAAAGGAGAAAAGAAAGGAAGGAGAGAAAGAAAGGGAAGGGAAAGGAAGGAAGCAGGCAGGGAGGGAGGGACTTCAGGAGATCAACGATGAGTCTGTTCAGGACTATATGCAGGGTTAGTTACTACAGGACACCTGTGATCCTCTCCCCACTCCCATTCCCACCTCTAAAATCCTTCAGAGGCTTCCTGCCTAGCCCCGCCCCCCACTCCCATCTCTCAGCCCTGCAAGAGCTGAAGATCAATCCCAGTGTCTCACCCAGGCAGGCAAGCGCTCTACCACTCTACATCCCAGATTCATTTAAGTTTCTTAATTGAAAAGCTACCATTGTGTGATTTTATTTATTATCATTACGTTTTGAAGTATAGCTACATTGCTGAGTGGTTAAATCTAGGTACTTAATAATCACAGTGCATGTTATCATTTTGTGGTTGGTGTGTAACATCATTCTGCATTTCTCGAGAATTTGCTCTGTTTAGCCACCTCATGACACCTCATGATCTCTGGAAAAATTTATCCCTCCTGACTGTAATCATACGTCCAACATCTCCCCCTTCCTGTGCCCATCCCAGCTTCTAGTAAACCACCATTATACTCTGCGTCTGTGAGATCATCTTGTCTAGATTCCACATGGGTGAGATCACACCGCCTTTGTCTTTCTCTCAGCCTTACCTTCTAACACACTTCCTCCATCCTGAGCAGCTTGCAAATCCTTGAACTTGTCTGGCTGTGTTCTACATCCTTGTGCCTCCAACCAGAATGCTTTTTCCTTGTCCTGCTGCCCTTCCTGTCAGGTATACTCAGAGTTTACATCTCTAAAGAAGCTTTCCCTGCCATTCACCACTGCCACCAGGGAGGATTAGTGTCAATCTGTCAGCGGCCACATGTTCACCCCCATGTCACTGAAATGATGTACAGGCGTGTCACCTCATACATTGCTGTGACATCCCCACACAGGGATGGTAGCATCTCTGTGTCCGTTGTGCCTAGATAGAAGGGGAGCATCAGTAGATGTTTATTAAATGGATCCAAAGCAGCACATCTAGAACAGAGCTGGAATTCCAATACAAAATGAAAAGCACTAAAGACAAGGTGAACAATGTGAATAGTTTATGTCTACCATTGACTCCCTTGTCCTTTTTTAAGTGCCTTATGTAAGGACTCAGTGTTCAGTTATCTAAGCCAAGCTGTTGGCTTGGTTATGTATAAGGAAAATGGACTAGAAAGGGAGAAGGAATATGGAGGCCTAGAGTGGAAAGCTGGTGAAGGTTTGGAGGCTAACATGAACTCCTAGCCATGGAGGTTCAAGAGTCCTAAGAGGGAGGGAGCCTAGCCTGCACACCTAGTAGTCTTCCTCTTTCTAAATTTCTGGGTCCTGTTTTCTACCACCACCTGGTGGCACCATCTGTAAATAACAAGCTCTAGCATGAGCTGAAGGAGCTCCTGGAAGGCAGTTCTACCAAGCAACTTTGGAAGACTTGGTCATTACTGCCCTCCTCCTTATCCTACCCCACCCTTACCCTCAGGGAGAATAAAGATCTGTGTGTGTGTAGAAGTATCTTACAGCATTCTTTTTTTAAAAAAAAGTCTCTGGCTTCCAAAAGCTGAGGATCACTGCTATTAAGGGATGGATTCAGATGGGAAAAACTGAGAGAAAAACAAGGGAAGAGGCAACACTGTTCAAAAAGATATGTACTCATTACCTGACCTATGCGACTGTAACCCTCTATCACCTTTACAATAAAAATAATTATTTTTTAAAGGGAGAGTGATTCTGGCCAGGTAAAATCCTCTGAATGACAGAGAAACATACCTGGATCCCCGCTGTTCAGATCCTCACCAGTTCCACAGAGTATTTATGCAGGATACAGAATCCAGTGTGCAAAACCACAGTTTAAGAGTCTCAGAGCCAGAGGACCTTCAGAAGTGATGGAGATGGACCAGGCCACACCTGGGAGGAACAGGTCCATGGCAATGCTTTGTTATAACACTAGTTACAGTCTGACTGCTCCAGTCTTCACTGCCGGCCTCGATTATTTTTTAATGATCAAATCTTTTCTGTCTTGTATATACTTCCCAAACAGGAACTACCACATTATTTTTAGAGTTCTGAAAAGACCTAAATGCTTGGCAATAGCCATAATACATGGTAGAAGATGAATCTAAAGTTCTTTATAACATACAGACATTAATACCCAGGAGCTGGTTTATATTACAGAGGGAAAACTTGAGACTCAAAGAGAGAAAACGACTTGCTTGATGTTTTTTTTTTTGTCACCAACTGAAGTGTTCTTCTATTTAAATACGTGTGCTATGGTAGTTAAAAATATGAGCAGGTAGTGTAACAGGCTTCTTGATCAGGGGCTGGGGGGAGGATCAGCACTGAGACTAATCCTGCTAATGACAGCCATGTACAGCCCGGGATAAAGGCTGATACTGCCAGCACATACACTAGAGTCTAGTTTCCAGACAGCCTTCGTAGTGTGTTTTTAATGACCATGCTGCAGCTGCAGATGTCTAAGCTGCAGTTCCACAATAAAAGTGTCTTGCCCCAGGTCACACGGCTAGCTCATGGCAGATCCTAGGAAAACCTTGGATCTATGGTCTGTATTTCCCATATCTAACTGGCTGTGCTGGCTGTGAACATCCCAAGGGCAACCCTGACTTCCTCTTCTCTTTTAGGAGTGCCAGCTTCTCTCAAGGCACCCGGCAGAAGAGTGACACAGCTGTGCAGAAGCTTGCCCAGGGTAATGGACACTGTGTCAATGGGGTCAGTGGGCAAGTCCATGGCTTCTACAGCCTTCCCAAGCCGAGTCGGCACAATGCAGAATTCAGAGACAGTACTTATGACCTCCCTCGGAGCCTGGCCTCCCATGGTCACACCAAGGGCAGCCTCACCGGGTCGGAGACAGATAATGAGGACGTGTACACCTTTAAGACGCCCAGCAACACCCTGTGCCGGGAGTTTGGGGACCTCCTAGTGGACAATATGGATGTTCCAACCACCCCACTCTCAGCCTACCAGATCCCCAGGACATTCACACTGGACAAGAACCACAACACCATGGCAGTGGCTACTCCTGGGGACTCAGCCATAGCTCCTCCACCCCGGCCCCCAAAACCCAGTCAGGCAGAAACTCCTCGATGGGGCAGTCCTCAGCAGAGACCTCCAGTCAGTGAAAACAGCAGGTCTGTTGCGGCCACTATCCCCAGGCGCAACACCCTCCCTGCCATGGACAACAGCAGACTCCACCGAGGTAAGTGTGAGCCTTCCGTGACCAGAGGGAGGGGGACAGATTCTGGCCCAGGCGGCCCCAGTGCATGCTAGCCCTTGGTCATGCACAGCCCAGAGAAACAAGGACCACCGAGGTCACTGATTCAAGTTTAGCCATCGACACAGTCCCTTGCCCATTGGTCCTCCAGCTATTATTATGATACCCACAGCAGCAAGACTGTAGCCGACTGTCGTGAAGATTGTGATATTCTAAGGCTCACAGAATATTTTTAACTGCAATACATATGGGTTTAGAAATCCAAATCATAGTACTTTATTCATTTAAAACTCACAAGCAGAGATTTAAAAAGTAAATTTAGAAGACCATTCCAAAGCTTGAGCCAAATCCGTGCGGACTGACAGACTAACGAAACAAAATGAGATGTTTAGAATATTGTACAGCCACACTAAAATCTCTGGTGGAAGTCCTGAAATGCTGCTGTTTCACAGGGTGTGTTCCAGCTCTGCACATATCTTCCATTTGGTTAAAAACAGAATGCTGCTCATTCCTCTCACTCTGCAGCTTGCTTTGGACTTGTGCAGCCTCCTCGCCCATCCTGTGGTGTGAGCCATGCAGTGTGTGGCAGGACAGAGACTTGTCATCTCTGTTTCACACAAAGCCTGCCGTGACTCACGATTACAGAGTGAACAGCAACCAAGATGGGACTCAGGCCTAGGGTCTGCCATTCCATCTATATTTTGAGCAGTCACCGTGTGTTTTGGAACCAGGATAAGACATAAAAAACTTGCATCTGCCCTTTAGTTCATAAATTTGACTGGGGGAAAAACGTATAAATAAGCACAAGTCTCATTGCTATAGTGTTCACAGAGCTGAGAAGTGGGAGTCCCAGGAAGGGGTGCACCGTGAGGCCAGCGCCCAGGAGGGACCCCACGCTGCAGTAGACCTAAGCCTAGGAAGAGTCAAGGAACTAAGGAAGGCAGGATTCAAAGCATCACGGTGTCCTCAGGTGGGGGAGGAGTACCTCCTGGAGCATCAGAGCCATGCCCGAGGGAACAGGAAGCGTCAGCACATGGATTGACATGAGACATCCGATCTTCTTTCCTCTGTCACAGCTTCTTCCTGTGAGACCTACGAGTACCCCTCCCGAGGTGGGGAATGTGCAGGCCGGTCTGCAGAGTCCATGAGCGAAGGAGTCAGTCCTTTCCTGGTGAGTGGGATGGGGCCATTCATAAGCTAGAGAGGGAAGAGGCTGGAGCCCATGGAACTGAGAACACGGCCGAGTGAGGCGGCGGCATCTCCCTGGGAACCCTGCCCAAGCTCAGAAGTTAGGTTGAGTTTGACAGGTAAAGCAGGGACCCTGGTCAGCATGCCAGGTATGCCCTAAGGTCAGCTGCACTCCAGGCTTACCAGGCCTGTGAATAAGCAGAGGGGACACAGAATACAGTGGGCTCAGTGGAGCTCAGGTAGAGGAGAGATTCTGTGCAGAAAGAAGGACTGAACAGGTAAGCTTCGCTTCCAAGCCCACCGGGAAGACAAAAAGTTAGGTCTTGAGACAGGTGCAGCTCCATTGGATGACCAGGACAAGAGAATGGCTGTAGCACTGCACAGGTTGGTGGTCAGCACAATGTCTGGAGGGAACCACACCCACTGCAGGCTGGACAGGGCAAGCACACCTGGCTCCACACCAGGGCCAAGTATGCCCCGGATCCTACTGAGGGTCTCACTGCTCATCTGCCAGTGGTGAATCTGGAGCAACCAAGGATGAATGGATGGCTAGGCTGACTTCAGATTTATCATGAAGTAGAGGTGGGTCCCAAGAGGTCATGGAAAGCTCACGAGACCTCATTTCCCCATACCTCCCACCGTCTCCACTGTAGTATCAGAGTATAGCTAACCCACTGGGGCAGCTTGCTTTGTACAGAGACTCACCTTTATTTCTTCTTTCTGGTGACAGCTGTTTCTCTCATGTTCCCTCTCTCTAGCCAGGGAAAACTATGGTGGGCCGCTCAGACAGTGCCAGTTCCGAAGACAACTATGTACCCATGAACCCGGGTTCTTCCTCCCTGCTAGCCATGGAGCGGGCAGGCGACAATTCCCAGAGTGTCTACATCCCCATGAGCCCAGGGCCCCATCACTTTGACCCACTGGCCTACCCATCCACATCCCTTCCTCTGCACAGAGGCCCCAGCCGAGGAAGTGAAATCCAGCCACCCCCTGTCAACCGGAACCTCAAGCCTGACCGCAAAGGTAAGTCCCATCCGTGAACGACATACAGGAGCTTAAAGGTCAGGTAGAGACTGGACTTGGAGGGTGTGAGTCTATGCAAATAATGTGAATTCTTTGAGCCTCAGTTTTCTTATGTATGAAATGAGCGTTTGTTTAGAAAGACAGCATCTAGGAGAGTGTGTCTCATCCACAGCAGATAACACGGTGGTTACATGTGTGTGTGCGCTTGTATGCAGACCAGAAAGGAGTGCTGGATTCCACATTCCAGGTCTGCCAGTGCAGGCCTGGCCTTGGCTCAACAGCAGGGATTCAAAGGGAAGAATCGGATTAATTGGGCAGAGATCAATCCAGCCAACAGGAAATTCACATCTGAGCCTGAAGCCTTCAGGGCCTTGTGCTATTTACCTTCCTCCACTGTAGTTTGCCCAGCTCTGTCCAAAAACAGCAGGGAGTAGTCATGGTGACCATCTCCATTTCAAATAGTCTCTTGTTTTTATATACAGTCAAAATCCTGTAGAGAAAAATCTGTTCTCAGACTGTCCAACTTTGTATGCTGAAAGTCTATGTGAAATCCAAAGCCATAGCTTCCACATGGGAAATAATTATGTAGTCATCCATCTGCAGGTTCTGCACATTCAACCAAGGCAGATCAAAAATACCTTTGAACTACCATGTATAGATTTTTCTTATTCCATAAATAAGACAACTGTTCATATTGTATTAGGAATCATATATAGTCCTGGAAGCAGTCCCCAGCAGATACTAAATGACACCTTTATGTCCTTCATTTCCTTAAGCAAATCGAGTGATTGTAGAGATGTTTCTATACTATATACTTGCATGTTGTATGTATTATATGCCTATGTGGCATGATCACTGGCTCTGTTCCTGTTCCAGCAAAGCCAACACCCCTTGACCTGAGAAACAATGCTGTCATCGATGAGCTCCCATTCAAGTCACCTGTCACCAAGTCTTGGTCCAGAGTTAAGTAAGTGTCTGTGGAAGCAGGACCTTGGAGTCCAGCATTAAAGCGTGGGAAGGTCTCTGGGGGACAACTAGATTTAGATGCTAATGTTATCAGCAGTGTTAGGTTTTCTGACAACAGTACCAGGCAGCTTAAAAGGAAGACAGATTTTAAGTTCATGGGTTCAGTCCATGGTCACCTGGCTCTTTTAAACTTGTGGCAAGGCAGAAACTTCATGGTGGGAAGAGTGTGGAAGAGGGTGATCCTGCGTAGGTAGGCTTCCTCTTTCTTCCACTCCACTGGAGAGTGCTACGCAAAGTAGGGTGGGTCTTTGCCACCCAGTTGCTGTCCCACATGCCAAGCATCTTTGGGAAGTATCCAGAAGCCTGCTTTACAATCCCCTAGACATCTCTCATTCCAACCAAGATGAAATATCAACATTCACCATCACTTCAGCTCATCTTAGCTCGTGTTGAGAATTGGTTTCCTTATCTATAAGGGGGAACGCTTATGTCCGCCGTGGCTTCGATCTAAGAACATGAGGGTCAGGACACCCCAAGGCTCATGCTGTCTTCTTCCCACAACAGCCACACCTTTAACTCCAGCTCTTCCCAGTACTGCCGCCCCATCTCCACACAGAGCATCACCAGCACGGACTCGGGAGACAGCGAGGAGAACTATGTCCCCATGGTGAGTCCTCTGGCTTTTGCTGGAAGCACTAACAATCCTGAGGCTTCCCCTCATCCCGGGAACTGCCTGCTTACCCTCTGCTGCAGACCTTCCAGAGTTTGTGTGTGTTGTCATCAGCTGGAAGACACAGCCCTAAAGAGCTGGCGGCATGAAGGATGTCCTTAGAGAAGCGGTGTTGGGAGACACGTGCACACCTCCCTCTGGTGACAGACCCAGGCAGGGTATAGTTTAAGGTTCCTCTGAGAGATTTTTCACTGAAATAGGCAAAGCTACCCAAACCTGGTTTGCCTGTAATCCCAGTTCCTCTGGAGGAGGCAGCTGTTTTAAGGATTACAGTTTAGGTGAAAGGTGAAACCCTAATTTCAACTAATAATATGAGTGGGGTGGCATAGGGTGTTCATAGAGCTACTTGTGCCTACTTAGGAGGAATAGACAGAAGCCAAAGCCTGAAGGAAGAGCTTACCTTAACAATAACCTAAGGCAAAATGGGCTGGCTCATGTGGTAGAGCACTTGGCTAGCAAGAGCAAGGCTAAGCTCAAACCCCACTACCTCCCAAAAGCTAGAACACAGGACTGTCACTTTCTCGTTAGAATCAGACTGTGAGAAAGCTCTGTGTGGGAATTCTCGCGTAGAGCAAGACTTGGTCTGAACACAGGACCCTAGAGACTGAGGCCTCTGCAGCACTCGATGGAGTGTTCCAACATGTTGCTCTTCGTGAAGAGCATTTCAGAGGACGGGGGCAGCTCAAGGAAGCTTGCCTGGGCTTGCCTGCCTCCAGTGCCAGAGCTCAGGGAGAGACCCATGCATGGGACTTGGCCAGAGGCTGGAAACGCAAGGCAGCACAGTGCATGGGATTAACGTGAGTCTGGGAGTCATGATCAATCCTGGACAGCACTGTGCTTCTCAGAGCCACTGCTTTTAACCAGGTAAGCAGTAACACCTGCCTCTCCAGACTGTGGTGAGAACGTGGAGTCATAGTGGCTGGCACAGAGCAGGACACAGAACAGCAGCTCTTCCTCCCAAGAGCTGATTTGCTGCTGCTGGCTGCTCTGTTTCTGACCTGTTTTTCTTCTTTGTGATATAGCAAAACCCAGTGTCTGCATCCCCTGTTCCCAGTGGCACCAACAGCCCAGCCCCTAAGAAGAGCACTGGCAGTGTTGATTACCTGGCCCTGGACTTCCAGCCGGGCTCCCCGAGCCCTCACCGCAAGGTGCCTGGGGCGGGGTGGGCCTGTGGGGATCCTCCTTTCTCTGAGCATAGTTTTCCTTGGGCCATAGCTCAGCCCATCAGAAATAGATGCATCAGAAACAGGCAAATGTGTGTGCAGCAGCAGTTTGTCTACTTGAGCTTACGAAGAGCGTAAGTAAGAGATCTGGCCTATCCCAGTCTCCTGTGAAGTCATTATCTAGATGGGGCATAAACGCGTTCTAGGTGCTTTCAGCCTTCCCTGGAGAGCCAGTCTGTCTAGACTGTAGGGTGTGAGGTTCTGCCCCAATATAGCTCCCCTCTGGGGTGTATCTGAGGGGGAACACCTAGAGCTCATTCCTATATCTAAAGCCTGGTGTTCTGTTGGGAAGAGTGGCCAGAGGGAGGCAACCGGGAGAGCATGATCTGTCCAGGCTAAGGAAGATCCTCAGAACTGGAACTCAGGGCTGTCTCCTATTGGCTGAGGGTTTGGATCTCACTTGGAAGCCCACACTTAGGAAAGATGGCAGGCCCTTGAGGCTGGTCAGGGGCCATTGTTGGCCTGCTGGCATAGACCTCATTTTCTTCCTTATCCCACTCACTCACTTTGTCTCCTCAGCCCTCCACGTCATCTGTCACTTCAGACGAGAAGGTAGACTATGTCCAAGTGGATAAAGAGAAGACCCAGGCCCTGCAGAACACCATGCAGGAGTGGACAGATGTGCGGCAGTCCTCAGAGCCTTCCAAGGGCGCCAAGCTGTGATGAGGGGCCAAGAAGCAACTGGAAGCTGGCTCCTCCCCCCACTTCCGCTCCCACCCCTCTCTTACCCCCCTCCACCCCACCAACCTCAGCCTTCAAGCATTTGACATCAGGGACCCCGACCCTTGGAGGTGAGGGCCTGATGGAGGCACGTAGGGCAGACCCGCAGTGACTTCTGTCAATCCTGGCAGTGCCTCCACCCACCTTAGTTAGGAGCTGTTGCCAAAAAACCTCCTCCTGTTCTCAGGGCCTGCCTGTCTACTGCCTGGAGCCTTGGAGGGAAGGAGCAGGGCTCTGAGCCAGACTCCACACACCTCACATTTGGTCACAGCCCTCCACCCTTTCCCTTCCCTCAGGGCTATCTCTCCAGTCCCAGAGGACAATCCAGGGAACCAAGGACCCCATCAAAGTGGACATGGACTTTTGGCTGTATGGTTATAGGCAGGGCAGGTCACCAGAAGATGAAGTAGATAAGAGTGAAGGTCAGAGGTAGTGTTGAGGGACCAAGGAATTTGATGTCAGATGCACAAGGACAGCGGATACCTGCAGAGTTCCCCTGCTTTCAGGCCAAGGCTATGGCGGGGCCACTGCGGTGGAATGAATGGGCAGCAGAAGGATAAAGGACAGGACTGATAAGCTATAAAGAATGAGGTACCAGGCGTGGCGTGACCAGGGTGCTACACAATCAGGGCCCCAGAACTGGTGCTCTAGGACTGCTCTGGGACAGTAGCAGGGTGAGTGGGTTGGGAAAATGGGAGAAGTAGCAGGGAGGGAGGGGTGTTAGAGGCGACGCAGGAGCTGGGGGACATGAATAGGATGTGCAGGGCCGTGCAGCAAATAAAGTTTCTGGGAGGTGTAAGACACAGAGGTGACCTAAGACAGGGGCACAGGGCCACGGAACAAGGGAGGGCATGGTAAAGAACCTGAGGCAGTCAGGACACAGGGCTGCTGGAAGAAACAAAGTGAAAGAGTGACCTGAGGGGGGAGAGAGAGAGACACACACACACACACACACACCGCCCCCCCCCCCACTGAGGATGGCTGGAAAACAGCACCCTTCCCAGAGACATATGGGGTATGGCTGATAGACACAACAGGTCTCAAAACTGGAGCATAACTGGCCTCTGCCAGCCCCAGTGTTTTCTCAGCTCCTCGCACCTCTGTGCTCCCAAGAAGGTCAGTGCTAGACTTAGACTTGGCTACATGGATGGAAGAAGCCTCTTTCCTCTTCCCCCGAGCTTCGGAGTTTATGAGATGGGCGAAGAGGAGGAGGAGGGGTGCTCCTGAGTTATGACGGGGAATATGATGTTGTTGTTGTTCAAAGTTCTGGACCAAATTATCAAGTTTCAGAGGCAGTGGGGCAGACCAGAGATTTCATTTTTTTTCTTTGCTCCTAGGAGCACACACATGGCCCTCTGGGAAGCTCCATCCTCAGTAGCTTTCCTCAACTAGCCCTTTAGCAGTAGTTCAGTGCAAATCAAGAGCCATTTTGTTGTGTTGGTTTGGGTTTTTTTTTTTCCCTATAGCTAAACTCTCGGTTTGGACCCCAAGGCCACGAGGTTAATCTCACACTTTGTCCCTGGAGGTCAGAAAGAAAAGGATAAAGTGCTGATGGAGTGTTGAGGTGGGGAGGCCGAGGCAAGTAAGGAGGAGGAGACAGGGAAGGCAATCTAGGAAGAGAGCTTGAACTAAGCCTTAGAGAAGCAGAGTGCGAGTTTCACAGAACAGGCAGCCAGGGGCTGCGTCCCCACAAGAAGGAAGGAGACACTGGACAAACCCTGGCATGGGCTCACTCAAGTGTCTGACTTCCTATGGGTGAAAGGCTAACTGTGGCTGCACTGGGCAGGTTTTTGCAGGTTGCTGGTTTACTCTGTGTGTACCATGTTGTGTGTGTGCCATGTGGAAAGTTCAAGGTCTGAGGGGAGGCCTCCATCTTACAATCAGTCCCTACCACTTCCCAAAGCATAGGGTGGAAGCAGGTGTGAAGGTGGAAAGATGGACAGGAGCCGATAGCTATGGAAAGCAGAGTTCACAAGCCCCAAACTACCAGCCATGTATCACGTGCCCACCAAAACAAGTGTCGACTCAGTTTAAGAAGCACACCCTTTGGCCTATCCACATGGTTCAAAGTCCTCTCCTAGTAGCCTGACACGGACTGAGGCCCCAGAATGGACATACACTCTCACCTAGCATAGCTCACAGCTCATCCTAAGAGCCTTCACCTCTACAGGGTTACAGAAAAGTTGGCGACTCCCTGGGATCCAGGATCGGTAGACTGAGGCTCCTGCCCTCCCCCAGCTGCTTTAAGGGGAACTCCCTGCTCTGTAATTTCTCGTACAGGGTCCAGCAGCCCCCAGCGTTGTCTGCCCTGCCCTAGCTTGATTTTGGTGACTTCTACACTTGCCCTGTTCTTAACAGAAGCACCCACCACTCTGAAGTTACTGGAGCTGGCGATCAATTCCAGCCTGGCCAGGGGCCCTTTACCTGTGCAAACTGTGTTCTAGCTACCCTGCCTTCCCCTCTTCTCCTTTCCCCGCCGCCGACGGAACTCCATAGGAGTGCAAGACTAGAGAGAATTAGCGCTGCCTTCCTGTCTACCCGGGCCTTCCGCTGTAGACTGTGGGGAAGTGAAGCTGATTCATGGGGCCATCTTTCTGGGACTTGTCCAATTCTTTGGGGTCTGGGACCAGAGGCCTCCCTGCGGCCAGGGGCCTGACGGAAGATTTTGTGCTGTCATGTGGTAACTGGTGGTGTGTGTTTTGTGTAATTTGTTGATTATTGTGTTTTCAAAATTAGAATTCACAGAACTGTGGCTGTTGGGAAGAGAAAAAATGGGCTAGGCGCAACCTAGTCTTAGGTTGTCTTAATACCATTTAAAAATTGACATTTAATTTTTCAAATCACTGTTGGTGCCTAATCACTTAAGTTATTAATTTATTCTGTTTTCAAAAACTTTGTAACCCGTATTTATCTTGTGAGTAGTCAGGGGTGGGACGGGAAATGTGTTGGAGTGGGTCATGTTTTTGCCGTGGTGACACATGGTACAGGCCTGGAGCTTGCAGGTCCCTTTTTACTGTGGTGTTAGAACAGGACAACAAAAATAAAGTCCTTTAGAAATGCAACCTAAAGGGCTACTGGAGTCTCTGAGAGGGCTGCAGGGACCCAGCCTGGGGCAGCTATGCATAAACACCTATCTCAGAGGAAATCATTTCCCAAATGACCCCTGGAGTGCTGATGGGCCAGTCGGCTCCATTCTCACAGGAACGAATTGAGCTATTGCACCCAACTAGCATCTGCCAGTTCAGGGCATGTGGAAGCTGGTGTGGGAGGGGGAGTTTCCCTGGCTCTGAGCACTGTGTCCTGTCTGACAGCTCGACAGCTCGAGTCTGTGATACCACAAGCCAAGATTCAGCAACCCTGGTAACCCCTTGTCCCGTGACTGCCACCATCTCTGTCCCTGCTTTCCCACTTCTTACCTGAAAGGAGGTGGATGGACAGGCTCAGTGGAAAGGGGACCCTGTGCTAAGGGCGGGTCCTGGGCCCTGCACATGGCCACTTGTGGGTCCCATTCTAGCTCCAAGAACTGGCTGAGGAGAATTGTGCGTGGAGCCTGGGATGGCAGGGGCTGCTGTGTGAAGGTCAGAAAAGGTCCTGACCTCCCCTCACTCCGTGCCCAATTCTCAGAGGAGGGACAGGGGTGGGGCAGATATTCCTGGCCAGCCTAGCGATCTTTGGCTCTGGAGTGCCTCAGTTGGGGGTTCTATGCTTATCTCAGGGCTTATCCTCATATCCCATGGGAGTTCTCCCAGCACCTCATCCTGTTGTCCCCCCAGTCTGCCCCCTGGTCCTCCTCATCCAGCACCACATGCTCACCTGCACACTGCTCTCGAAAGCAGGCACACATCCTCACCTGACCAGCCGAGAGCCCAGGTCACCCTCAGACTGCCAGAACCCAGGAAGAAAACCAAGCACACAGCCCCTGAGATGGGAAGAATGATGCATCCTTCACAGGCTGCAGAGAACCTAGTTTTATTCCTGTTTGAGAACACAAGTCTCTTTCCACTGAGAAAGGGCTATAGCAATGTCAGGGTGCAATGAAGTCATCTGTGCAATCGGGTCCATCCCGCCCCTCCCCAGAACAGCCATGAGAGCCAGTTTCCTGAGCACAGATGATGCTTCCCAACAGACGGGCAGCTCTGCAGTAAACTAAGAACTCTCAACCTTAACCAAAGGGGATGCAATTGGTGTCATCTGAGGCACTGAGGCAGGTGAGGGGGGTGGAGGTGAGGGACTCTGCTTGGTACAGGGGAGGGACAGGTGAGAACCTTCATCCCTGATCCGATGCCACAATGCTTCCCACCTATGGCACCCACATACCTTGCCTCTGAACCCCCTCAGAGAAACAAAGGCAGGCAGAGGCGACACCTTGGAGTCACCTTCTTGGTGCAAGGGCTTGGGCCCACTGTGCTTTTTCTCCTATGGAGCAGGAACTATGGGGAGGGAGCTGGAGCGAAGTACAAGGACACTGAGCAGAAGCTCAGCCCAGGTTCTTGAGCCAGCAGAGCTCATTTCTCCAGGACTGGGCCTGTGCGGGGACGGTGGGGTGGCAAAACACAGAACATGTCTATCCAAGAAGCTTCAAGTTAGGTCACTTGGGTGTAAAACCTTAATGAGACTGAGCCCAGTACCAGACCCTGAGGACCACCCTAAGGTCCACATCTGGGTTTCCGTGTGCCCTTCAGGCTGAGGACCAAAATCCCAGATGCTTTTCCATCTTCTCATTCTCACGCTACTCCACCCTAGGCCTCTTCATAGCCCACCCAGGCTCTATCTTCAAGAGAGGCTCTGCCTGGGCCCAAGCCCCCACCTGGACCTTCCTCTCTCCCAGACAGTCTGATCTGGCTCCCAGAAGGAAGAGGTAATTTTTGTCCCCTAAAGTTGACTGTGGTGTTCCCATGGGTGGAATCAGGATAGGAGAGGGTTCGTATTAGAAGACCAGTCTGTGGAAGTCACCACCATTGCCACCTGCAGGACTGCAGCCTCCGGGGGAGCCTTCATCCTCATCCTTGTCTTCATCATAGCCCCTCCCCCAGTGTGGAGAAGCAGGGAGGGCAGAGATGTATGCCGCCCTGCTCCGGGCCTCCTTCTCTTGCTCCTGGAAGCAGACAGGGTGAAGAGAAAGTTCAGAATCCACACCCCTAAAGCCAAAGCCCTCCCCTAGTGCCATCCAGCTCTTCCAGGAGCCCAGGGCCAGGGCTCAGAGAAGGCACAGTGTGTTCCTGAGGCACCCCACCTCCATGGCCACATGACAAGACAGATCCATTCTTCCACCCCAGGTCTAGTCTTCAAACCCTCCTCTCAGTGACAATTCAGTCCCTTGGAGGAAAGGATCTCATTCATATTTGACTGTGACTGGCTGTCAAGGGCTTGATAAGGAAAACAGATGGTTTAGGGACCTTGAGGGGACTCGACTCGTCACCCACCCCACTGCCCCACTGTCCAGGCACAAGGAGCAGCCTCTGCCTGTGAGCAAGATATTCCTCCTGCTGAAATGAGATCAGCTTCGAAGAGACTGCCTGCCTCACCTGCACAACCCAAAAGAAAATCCAAAACTGGCCTGGGGACCCAACCTTTCTCTGTCCTACACCAAACACAAGGGCAAGTGTACAGGCAAGTCTGGCTGCTCCAGTTGGCCACAGCTGAAACCCACCACCCACAAAAACCCTGCTGTGCCCATTGCTAAACACTTTAGTGCCATCCTGACCAACAGAGGCGGCAGAGGCGGTGGGGCAAGCAGGTCACTGGGTAAGGTGGCCCTGCCAGGTGTCCCCACAGGCATTCCTAACCACCGACTCCACTGCTTGCTCTATTAGAGCCCAGCCTGCCCCTGCAGCATGCTTGCAACTGTACAGCATGTTCCAAGTCCTGAGCAATGACAGGATAAATGGACTTAAAAAATGTAAGCTAGCCAGTGGCTCACACCTGTAATCCTAGCTACTCAGGAGGAGGCTGATATTTGAGGACCAAAGTTCAAAGCCAGCCTAGGCAGAAAAGTCCATCAGACACTTATCTCCAATTAAGCACCAAAAAAGCTAGAAGTGGAGCTGTGGCTCAAGTGGTAGAGCACTAGCCTTGAGCAAAAAAAAAAAAGCTCAGGAAGAGTGCCCAGGCCCTGAGTTCAAGCCCCAGGACCAGCACAAAAAAAAATAAAAATAAATGGAAGAGGCTCAGAAGAGAACTGATGTAAGCGTTGGGATGTGCTGGGGACAACCCCCACCCCAGCAGTGCAATCAGAGACGGCAGCCCTGCTCACCTGCAGGTAGAGGATATTGTCTTTGGAAATTGCTTCCATCAGGTCCTTGTGGAGGGTGGGCTCTGCTCGGACTCGGGGAGACCCCGACTCACCTTCACACCCCTCCCCAGGCCGCTGGCGGTAGAAGAGCACATAGGCCGTGTCCTTGGGAAAGAAGGAGGTGACATTGCTGACAGACTCGAAGGAGGAGAAGGACACCCGGGTGTCGTTGAACAGGTACCACTGGTTCTCAGGCTCTGGCCTGTTGGTGGCCCCCAGAGCGGGGGCGGGGCGCGCAGCACCCTCTCGGGCATAGCAGTAGTAGTGCCCGCTCTCTGAGGACACTCCTGAGTGTACCACCACACTGCAGAGGTCATAGGCCTGGCCCCGTCCTCCAGACAGGGGCAGCCGCAGCAGGAGGGGAATGCTGACATCGTCCAGGATCTTGCGGCGCCGCATGGTGCGCAGGTCAAAGGAGAAGCGCAGCAGGGTGAGGATGAGGTAGCGAGGGCCCTGGCTCAGCTCAACCACCTTCTCGGCGTCCTGCAGGGAGGCACAAGGCTCGCAGTAGTAGCGGTTCTCTGCCGTCAGCCTCTCAGGGGACAGGAAGTAGTTGACCAGATCCAAGACAGAGCGAGAACCTTCGGGGCCACACACCTGCTCCCTGGTGGAGGTGGCGGCATCCTGGAGAGTCCCTGGCCCCAGGCCGCTCTCTTCCTTTTTGTCAGTCACCTCCTTCTCCTCCTCTTCCTTCTCTCTTTTCTCTTTCCCCTCTTCTTCCTTTTCCTGAGTCTCTTCCTCCTCTTCTTCCTTTCTCACTTCCACTTCCTCCTTCTCTGCTTTCTCCTTCCCTGCCTCCTCCCTCTCCACCTTCTTCTCCTGCAGGCTCTGCCCTGTCGCGATGGAGCCCAGGCCTTCCATGTCCAAAACCGCAGGGGGCGCAGCCCCGGTGATGCACTGTTTCCTCTGCCTCGGAGGCCCCACCCTGCCGGCAGCCTGAGCCAGTGGCAGTTCCTGGGCACTGCCATCCTCAGCGGCAGGGAGCATCACAGAGCCCAGCCGCCTGCGCCGGCAGCGCTCAGGGGGAGGGAAGGCCAGGGAGAGGTCTGTGAAGGCCTCCTCACGGGAAGAGACATTGAGGCAGTGGAGACAGCATATCCGAGTCACAATCTTGCCTCCAAACATTTTCTCCACAGAGGTTGGGCTGGGGCTAGGGGGTTCCTCGGGTGGGGAGGGCAAGCTGGACTGCTTCAGCTTTTGGCAAATTCTTGTCCCAGTCTTCTCCTCTTCATGCAGCCTGGAGCAAGCAGGGAACACGGGGTTTTATGTATATACAGCAGGCCTGCTTCCAGTGCACCCACCTGCTGCCTACTTTGTTCAGTAGCCAACATCTAGACATGTGCAGGAATCCGCACAGGGAAGACACATCCATGCACAAGTCCACAGAGTCAGCACACATGCTACAGACCACCCTTCATGCATACATGACATAAAGACTGTTTTGTGGCCCAGGCCAAGGATTCGCACAAGCAAGCACAGCACACAAGTGTACACACGTGCATACGTGTGTATGGCCAGGGCCTCAGCCTCTCTTACCGATCTAGCAGATACTTCAGATACTCCGAACAGTCCTGCTGGGTTCCGGGGCTGAACCAGGGCGTCCAGGATGCAGACAGGAAGTTCTCGGGGGAGATAGCAGGCCTCTAAAACAAGGCAGGTAAAAGGCAGGGTGAGGAGCCACCTCCACCAGCGCTTGCCAGGCCTTTGGATCTACCTAGGGCTGCACTCCCAACCACCTCAGCTTCCTCCCCAAGTCCCC